AGTAATTACTCCTAGTGATGGAGGCAAAATGATTGAGGTATGAGGATCGGCATCAAGTGTTAATTAGTGTCCCATGCCAGGGCTTGGAACAGATTGCTTAAGCTGTCTTGGATATCGTGCATCCTTAGTCTCAGATTTATGGCCTTTCCCACCAGGGCTTGGCCCTGAATGCAGCATTGCCCTCATTCTCTCAACAGTGATATCTAACTTCATCACCTCAAGTGGCCGAGCTGCAATCCCAGAATGCAACTCAAGATGAAGGCACAAAAGTAGAAGATAAAAAACACTAACATAGAAACGCTTAACTTTTCTATCCATCACATATAGAGAGGACTAGAGCTACAAATTATCTTATACTTAGCTTGAAACTATGAGAATCCATTTTATAGTTTCTATTGGGAGTAGGGGGAGATTAGTTGGATGACATGCCAAAGAATGAAAATGATTGGCTTTGAAATTGAGATATTGGAATTCAAGCTGAATCATACACGTGAAATTTTCTGATTTGTAGCTTAGTTTGGTTAGTTAGGCCCAAGATGGAAAGCTTTTGATTTTGAGCATATTTATCTAAGGCTCTCAACATCAATTATGAATGTGATTGACACTCCATGGAGCATATCAATTCCACCAGCTAGTTTAGAGTGTGCTGTTTAATCTGGCTTAAATGCCACTACCTCTTGCAAAATTTTCAACCAAAAGGTAGCATTTACTTCTTCCTCACGTTATATAAACAAATTAAGTCTTGGTAAATGTTATTTTTTCCTACCTTTCGAGTCTATGTAACACACTCAAAGACTCGGACTAGCTTTGAAATTGCTTTCTTGCATTGGTTTCATAAGTGAATCTTATTGGCCCTTGAAAGTTTTTGGAACATTAAATTAATCTACAAATGTTAATCCTATCTCGAGAGAAAGGTTTTGTTTATCTTTCCCTCAAACAAATGACTTAACCTTTTATACATTATATATTATGAGTTATGGTGGCTTTGATATCTGAGGGAATATTTAGGTTTTTTACACAAATTTCATAATGATAAGATATTGTCCGCTTTAGCCCTAAGCCCTCACGGTTTTGCTTTTGATCATCATCCAAAAGACTTCTCTATCATTGGAGTATGTGTATATTTTTATAAGTTGTTATTTTTTTTCTTCTTATTTTATTAATGTAGGACTTTGTTTGTATCTCAACACGATGTCTATGTAATTTAATTCTACATAAATTTTGTCCTTGATTGATAGTTTTTGACATCAACATATCCTTAACGATGTTCATTCGTCCCAAATAATGCCACTTGTGACAATTAATATGAAGAAAGAATAGGATATGTGCAAGTACTACGGTCCACCATATATTCCATCGAAATCTCGTTCTTATGCGATAAAAGAGAATGAGTTGCACTCTTTTCTCTCATTCCAAATTCATTTGCCACAAAATATTCAATTTCAATTTTACTGTTGAAAGTCAAAGAATGGGGTTTACTACTTTACTTTACTCAAGCTTTAGTGATGGATGAAACTTGGAAGCAATTACTTAGGTTTGTGCCCATGATCATAAATAATTGAGTGTCGCTTCATGGAGACAATGTGGGAATGATTGATAAGAAGGAATGGCCATTTACCTGATTTAGTTATCTACCAGAATTTCTTTGAGTTCAAAATTAGATTCTAGTGATAACCTGCTGAAATCTGTAATTGATGTTTGTATTAGTGGTAAACGTGACATTGACGAGCAAAGAATAAATGAAAAGAATATTTTAATCAAAGTTCAGCTTCAAACGGTTACTTCGCGTGGAAAGATAACAAAACTGGTAAATTGCAATCATCTATCACTCTCTTTCCTTTACTGGTTCAGTAGCTTCCGAGATAGTGCACTGAGGAGAACCATGTTTAGAATCTAAATATCACAAGTAATAAGTATTGGTAGTTTGGTATATATAGAGTTAGGTAACTTTGCACTTCTAAACCCTATTTGTTATTGATTCACTTATATACACGAATACACTTTTCAAACCCAGTAAGATTATATTTAGGGTGTGAGAAATACTAATAACATTATTTTTATAGATATAATTTATGCTGTATCTTGAAATTGAGAATCAAATATTAATCTGTATTATATGATTTTTTGTTGATTAAATATTATTTTAATATTATAAAAAGTCGATCATGAGATCAATGCTTGTGTTTATCTCAGAATATGCTTATTCTTATTTTATACAATGAAGATGAATTAGCTAGTTAATGATAAAACTCACGAGTCAGACGTGTCATAATTTAAAAAAGAAAAAAGTCACCTTTTAAAGGCTTTAAATTAAAACTAGACCTGCACGGAAATCCCAACATCAATTTTCCAAACAAATGAAAATGTTGACAGGGAAGATTTGCTATTTGGGGCAATAAAATGTGGCCAAATTCATCTGGCTAGTTTTTGCACAGTTTCATTATATATAAAGAGAGGGTGTCTAAATAACTCCAGTTGTCGAAAAGTGATAAACAGTATAATTTTTTACTTAAAACATTAAAAAAGAATAATTTGTTTGGTGAATGTCGTAGATTACGTACCATAACGGCATAACTACTTTGACTATTTCACAATAGTATATGAAAGTCCTTTTTGAATTGAAAGTTTGTGAAAGAAACTGTTCTGTAGTCCTGCCCTGTCAACACTTAGCTTATGAAAGTGGCCATCGAGGGTTCTTAGCATATCAAATATCACTTTCGTTTGGTTTAGAAATTTATATAAGTGAGAAATTAATTTTAAATTATAGTGTGATTAAAATATATGTTTAAGTTAATTTAAGTAATATATTTAGTTAAAATGTATATTTTTCTTTAATAAATGAGAATTAGTTCTCAAATTTGAAAAGAAATGCATATTACCACTGTTTTCCTTTAGAATCTTTGAAAATTAAAATTTCAAGATTTTATACTTTTTGTAGCTAATATTTTCTTGAAATTCTATGTATATTGCGTGGGTCTTTCCAGTTAGAGTTTTAGGTGGAGTAGCATACCAGGTGTAAAGAAGATGAACAAGAAGAAGTTGCCACCACAATTTTTGGTGGGCTAACATGTGATGATTCATTACGAAAATGCACCACCGTCTGTATCTTCAAAAGATTCGATTGACAACGAGTGTAGGAGAAAAAGGAACCTCGTTTCACACAGGATTTCAGTACTAAATTATCATATATAAATATAATGTTGCACATTTTAAATTTGCTGGCAAATACATACTTTTATTTTTATGGCCAAACATGAATTTGGAAATGATTTGACTTATTGCATAGATGGGGTATTGTTCTCTCTTATATTTAAGGGGAACTAATTGGGAGTGATCTTCCACGAAAACAATAGCAATACTAAGAAAAGGAAAATAAAATTGTAGTGGTTTCCAATTGGAAATTACATGATTCAAAGCAGTGATCTGTCGCTTGCATACAGAACACCTAGACCGATGGCTTCTTGCTTTGAGGTCAATGGGCTTGCTTACTTGCATGAACTAAATGAATTTGATTTTCAGCATTTTCTGCTACCCCTTTTCCTCTTATGTGGACATTGTGCTTGTCACTGTTTTTCATGCGCACAACCTTGGTATCAAAAATTAAAACTCTAAGTCCAAATTAGTAAGTCATATAGAGTGCCTCATTTACACTTTTTTCCCAATAAGTATCTCTTCCAGGAATTTCTGTTTGAGACACTTTCATAAGACATTAAATATCTACGTTTTTCATAATCGACTCTTTTTTTAATATAGATAAGAAAGATTATAATGATAATAAAGTTAAATCTAAAAATTTGTGTATAATATTCTAACACTTTTACTACTAGATCGATTTGAGCCTTACGCGTATTTGATCCCAATTTATTTCCTATTTAATCATTTAAAAACTTACCCAAAATGTTAATACATATTTCAAAGTAAGTTTTAAAGCAAAAGATTTTTTTTAATTTTATATATATATAAAAGAATAGGAATTAATTTAAATACGCTTGTTTTTATACTGCCATTTAATCTATGTTAATGTTGTAGATTTTTTTTAGTTATTTAGATGATTAAATATATTTTTAGTTTCCAAACTTTTGTAAAATTTTGATTTTAGTTCTTAAACAAGTTTTATTAAGTTTAGTTTCTGAAAATTTTTTTCCATGAATAAAATATTCCAATGACAAAGATTAAAATGTTAATGATTTTTTTTTCAAAGACTGAAAATGAAAATTGACAGAAGTCTAAAGAATAAGATTAGTGAAAAAATTATTCTAAAATTAAAAACAAAAATTTAAAGACTTAGAAGATATTTAATCCTTGGTCATGATCATTTTCAATAGATAAGTGACTGTAAAAAACAAACTTTAAAAAATACACAATCAGTCTCTGTATCAAACTATTTCCACGCACATACTAATGGCTTAAAGTTAATTGTAAAACTTATCCACTAACCTTGACGTCCAAAGTTAACTCAATTGGCCGGTTTTGTTGGTGAAGACCCTTACTAGTTCTTTCTGAAGTTAGGTTCAGACTCAACCATCTCAATCTCATGACATTTTTGAAAAACTTATATTCGATTCTTCCAAGGTCAAATGAAATATCTTGTCTTGATGTATATAAATTCGAAATTGTTTTTTATTTGAATTCTGTGGTAGGAATTTCAATCCCATCTGCTGGCTGCATGAGATGTTACAAATTAATTTGACTTCTGATCGAAGACATCGTTTTCAACTCGTCCAAACCTTCTTTTTTTAGAACAATCAGTCTCAACAATTTTAGTTTTCAAATGAAGAACCTACCTTGTGTGCTTCCTTGGTAAAGGTATGATTGAACTATTTCTATTGTGTCACACTGTTTTAAATAGTGAAGTCCCCCCCTTCATTGCAGACATTAATTCTTTTCTCTCCCTATAAATAGGACCTTCCATTTGCCACTTCAGCAATACAAATCAAAAACAAAGATACCCCTTTGAGAAGAGTATCATATCACCAAATAAACCTTGACCTTCATTTAATATGGACACAAGATTCAAATCTGTCTCCGTGCTCACTCTTGTTCTTCTTGCTTCCTTGTTTACCTCTTTGCTTCCTGTATCACAAGCCAGGTCACTGCTTATTTCTTCACCAAACAAGGATCATGGTATTATTAGAGAGCTGAATATTGGAGTCTTCAGAACATTGAAGAGCTCTGGCCCAAGCCCTGGTATTGGACACAGACTTAAAAAGCTTCAAAATCTTGGAAGCATGAAAGACTCTGGTCCTAGTCCAGGTCAAGGACACAAGTACATCGACAACAACAACCTCTCATAAAGTACCAATTATTTGCATTAGACTACTGATGTTATGATCTTATTTCAACTTGTAAGATAGTTTCAGAAGTCAGAACTATTGTTTTCAAGAGATGAAATAATGCATACGAAACTAGACAATAATCTTGAAGTACTTGCTACCTAGGTGCATGTAATAATTCCACTAAACTTGTTGCTAATATAGTGCAGGCTACATTGTAACATGGGTTTGATATGACCCTTGTAGATTATTTTGCTTTCTTATTAATGCTATAGCAAAGACATTGAGAAGATTTAGTGGAGGGCAGGGACGGAGCCAGGATTTCAATACTGGGGGGCCGAGAATAAATAATATATAATTTATAATAAATGAAAATTAAAGTATCAAAAGCATATTATCTGACAAAACTAGATAATAATTAACATAATTTAATAAAAATTATTTCTCATATTTACATTTGATAAATATATCGAACATATTGCAAGATCAAGTTATTCAAGTATGTACCTTTATTTCTTAAAAAAAATTAAAATTGTTGGGGGGGCCGTGGCACCCGTAGGTCCCCCCTTGGCTCCGTCTCTGGTGGAGGGTGCCATGTAATATTTGTTTAATATTATTATATGCAATCTTATTAGTCGCCTAATCAGTTCGTTGTCTATCTAAGTGTTACGTTTGTCAACAACACTAATGCCAAGTTTGATGTCTTTTCGGAGGGTGAAGGTAAACTACTCAACTTTTAGTTTTGTATCAAACATTACAAAACTTTTCAACGGCAATGCTACTTGTTCTTACCCGAGATCGGTCGAAGGGACGATTTGCTGGGCAAGATTGGTAAACCTCTTTTGCTTGGCATGTCGGCTGTTCCGAGATGGGGTGGGTACCTGTAAAAGAGACTCCGATACTAAAATTAGTATTTGATAGTGTAGGCGTCTCATATATATAGTGCACGTATCTTGATATAAATTAAGGTTTTCTTCTTAGGCGAAGATAAGGTTGATCTGGGCTTGAGATTGGCCGCGGCCCAATAGACAGTGAGCCCTTGCTTTGGCCGATGTCATGTAGCGCCTATTTAATGTGTTGCCCTTTTGTCGTTTTCCTCATTTTTAAAACACTAGTTTCTTTCTCATTCGTCCATTTGCCTTTCGCCGAGTTCGAGTGTGAATTTCTTAGGTTTGTAAATGTAGCGCAGATCGTTCCCTCGACCCATCTCAGGTAAGAACATGTAGCGCCTATTCGATGTCGTGCAGTGCAGTGCTTGGATACTGAGCTCAAGCTCGGTGCCCGACGCGGATAGTACACTACTATTCACCAAAGTATTTGTATAATCACTTGCAAATTATTAATAATCAATCATGAGTAGAGCAAGGAACAAATATAGTTAAAAGGTAAAAGAAAATGTTATTACATAATTAGATATATAACTATTAGAGATATGAAATACTTTTTCTAATAATAAATAAGTATAAAACTATAAAAATATTTGAAATAAATTAATTATTAAAGAGTAAATGTATCTTAGGAAAAGTTGAAACAAAAAAAATGTATTCCCTTTATCAATTACAAGAGAGAAAAAAGGCATTTTGTACCTTTTAATATTTATTTTATAAAATAAAATAAGATAAAAAATAGTAGAGTAAGTAGTTATCCAAAAAGGATAGTGGTAACTAAAAAATTGAAATTATTTTTAATAATAAAAGGGTATAATGGTTTGTCGATGTAAAGACTAGAAATAGTTACTAAAGGGGATATCCCTTTTATATATTAGTATAGATTTTATAAAATAAATAAATAATAAATGGTAGAGAGTAATAGTAGTTACTAAAATAATTATTAATTTTTAAATTATTTTTAATAATAAGAGGATATAATGATCTATCAATATGAAGATTAAAAGTGATTAATAAAAGGATATCTCCTTTATATATTAATATAAATTATAGATAGATAATATAAAAGAGGGAAATAGACACGTTGTACCTCTAAATATTTATTTAAAATTAAAATTTTAAAAAGTTACTAAAAAAATGATAATAATAATTTTATTTAGTAGAAGAAGACAATTATTCAAATATAGTTGTTATCAAAAAGATAATGTGCACTTACTAAAAAAAAGTATTTTTGGTTAAAATGACAAGTAAGAGTAAAACTCAAAATATTTTAAAAAAATTTCGATAAATAAGTGGTGTCCTCTTTATATAGTGTGCAAATTAAATAAAAATTACACAATTTAATTAACCAATCAAAGATAAAAAGGTATCTCTTTTGTAAGTTGATTATAGAATTGTGGAATAATTTATTTTAATTTATTTATTTATAATAGTTTATTTACTAATTATTTATTTAAAGTATGTTACACTTTGAATTAAGAATTTATTAGCAACGAGAGTTTTTTTTAACTAAATATTATCTTCTTATTGTTTTTTTTATAAATCTCTATTGTTTTTAGATATTCATTTTTATTTATATCTATATTTATGCTTATATATAAAAAATGATAAATATTTTAATAACTACCTTTCATCTCTACTTTTTAAAACATTTTTACCCTTCTTACAAATTATCTTTTTCTCACTATTACGTTTCATCAAATAAAAGTCAAAAAATTTACCCGAGCAGCCATTATTACTTTTTAACATTATACTATTTCCCCCTCTTTTTTTCTTGGAAAAAAATATTTTTTTAAAATAAAAAAATTATACTATTATTTTTGACAGTACCATGGTTCCAATCCCGTCCTAGCTGGCTAGTTGCCTTGAGACAGCATTGGACAGCGTGTAAGGAGTAAGAGCGCCTCCAGTGAAAGGTGTGAGTCACTTCTCATTCTAGCATTGAACAGAACAGAAGACCCTCTTTTTCTTTGGTAGCTTCTTCGGTACGAGTAATGGATTGAATGTGTTTTTGTTAATACATTTGTATTTTTAATAATCTGGATTTTAATATGATAGTTTTTTGAACACCCCCTACTTTCAACTCAATATCATTTGTATGAGTTGATTGATTCCAATCTCTCTCTAACATTGGGATTATATTGACAACCTAGAACCGTCGGTATAGCCGCTGTTTCTAGTACAGTTACATGTCGGATTTGTCACCCTTTTTTCCATTTTTCCATTGGTTGCAATACTACATAATTACAATTATAAATACTTTCCAGATATATCATCTACTGCGAGCTATAGAAGCAATCTTCAGGACATACTGCACATTGATGTCTAAGGGTTTAGAAGGAGTAAGTTTCAATATTGAAAATGGTGAAGCTACACAATCTGAACGAGATAAAAGGGTGAGTTGTTGATTCCATAGTCATGTATTTAACTTTTGTTGATAAATTAGGAAGGTTGAAGTTTGGGTGTTAAATTCATATTATGATAGGAAATGAAGCTCCTAGAATTGAGGGAGGGGAGGAGCTGATATTATTTCTTTTCTATTTATATGCTATAGACCATTGATCTGAAATTCTGAATTAATGAGAATAAAAATCCATTCCCTGTCTTCTCTACAACTTTTAGTAATTTTTTATCCATAGTTCTTATTATTAAATTGTTATTATTTATTCTTATATGTGATAAATTTGCAGTTTAGGGCAAATTACTTCATTGCTCAAAATAGAGCTGTAAGTAAATATTTTATGACTTTAAGAGAACTATTTCCTGTGACTTGGGAAGACGTTTTTATGCGAAGCATTCTCAAAGGAAATAATGATGCAGATGCCGCTACAACGATTATAAAAGTTAATAACGAGTCAACGGTCTCGGTCCATTAATGAACAACAAAATATAAGAAAAGAGTTGTTACCGAGAGGTTTCAATACATTCTTTTATGTAAATTTATAAAAATTATAAAAAGAACTAATTTAATTATAAAATGAATAATCTAAATTATATTTATAAAATAAAAAGTAAGATAAAATTATAGAGATTAAAATTATAAAATTTCAATAATGTTATAAAACATTAAAAAAGAAAAAAATTAATAAATAGTAGAAATAAAAAATTATTAAAATTACAATATAGAAATTCAAAAATTTAAGACAAAAAGACAAAAATATACTTAAAAAATAATTTATTATAATATAAAAATTCAAAAATTTAAGATAAAAAGACAAAAATATACTTAAAAAATTATTAAAATTAAACTATTTAAATATATAATAATATTATTAAAAATAAAATTAGAATATATAAAATAAAAATAAAATGACTAAATAATTTAAAAATTTAAAGAATAAAATATCATAAATGTTATTTAAATAAACTATTAAAAATATAAAATATAAAATAAAATTATAATTATAACTTACCGATATCTTCCCAAATAATATGGGTACTGTAGAATTATAATTGTTTAATTAATTTTATAAAATTTGACAAATAATTATGATAGATATAAGTTAATTATTAAATTGATAAAACTATATTAATTTACTAAATAATATAAACATATTAAATCCATGGCAAGATAAGTCTCTTGTTTCAATTGTTTAATGTATAAGCTTTTATTGAAAATAACCAATAAAATCTAACATGATTGATTTCTCGTTATGTGTATAAAAAGACTATTAAAAGAGACAAAATTCACTTTGATAATTTTTACACATTAAAATGAAATATTTTTCGATTATGGACTAAAAGTTAATATAAAAGAAAAAAATAGTTTCTATCACAAATATATTGGTTTTCCTGTGAAGCAAAACAGTTACAAGAAGAAACAAAAACATATTATGCCGGAGTTAGGTGAGCAAATTCCACATAGAATTTGAAAATTTTCAAAATGTCCATAAACACGTGATAGAACTAATGTGACAACACGAGTTAAGAGTTGAGACTTAGTATTAATTTCTTGACCCACACCTAATGGAGTGGACAGGTGCAACCGACCCAATACTTAATGGGCTTTTGGTCATGGTTGGATTGGTTATCATCTTTTTATTTATTTACTTTTTTCACGGAGGGCAACAGATATTCATTTGTGACATGTATATTATTGTTTTGTGATGATGTTATATTAGGATAGTTGGACTT